GCAGGTCTATGGAGTGAGTTTATTTTTAGCAACATTCCAGCAATATTCCATTCATTCATTCTTTCATTCATTATGGAGACACTGACTTCCGTTCCTTGTTAACACTGCGTGAGTGATGTATCAAATGGTCACCATTCGTCCAAATGAAAATGGTTTAAATGGCGAGTCGTGCCACATAATCAGTAATGACGAATGTACAAATATCCTCATTCTAATAAATGATTTTTCATTTGTTGTGTTTTGTTGACTTTATGTTGTTATTTTGTTTGTTTGGTTTTTCATTTTGGATTCCTGGTGTCTGTGTGGGGGTTGACGGGCGGACGTGCATGCATGTGGGAGGAGTTTCAGCATCAAGCACATTCCATACCCACACACCTGTGGTTGTTAGTGGTGTGTCAGGGAGTGGTTATATGACAGCAACATGAATATATGATGCACTGGATAAGTTATACCAAAGGAGGGCTTCGCTCTCTGTCTACCTAGCAGTGCAGGAGAGATATAGCAAGGAGATTGACGGACAAAAGCCACACGCAAACGTTAAGGTTTTTTTGTAGGAGACCATCGACCAACCCGTGTAATATTGCCAACATTTCACAAAATCAGTTGGTTCAATACGGGTTTAGGTGGTCAAACTCGCTGACTTGGTTGATGTATGTCATCGTACCCAAAGTGCGTAGTTCGATGTTCATGCTATTATTACAGTGCATATATTTCTTCATACACTTTTATATTTTTCACAAATTATTCATAACATAGGAAATCTGTATAGGTGCAAATCGCAGTGCATAGTCTGTCTTGTTTATAGCCCCGCATGGCAAGCGCAGTAGTAGGCAATTAGCAAACGCGTCCACGCCAACCTTAAACTAATTAATCAAAGATGAAGTTATTGAGTGTCGGCTCCGGCCTTTCTTCTCGGGTACATCCCTTGGTCAAGCACAGATGAGTAGTCCCATCCCAGAAGGAGCATGTCTACCACCAACTTAGTCGTAATCGAAAATCAACTTTTTTTTAACAAGATCGAGATTACCATCATGCCATCCTCCTTGTCCGGTCGTAAATGCCATGGTCAAGCGCTGACAGATATTTTGTTAAGCAAGCTGGCGCAAGCTGATTGTGACTACACCATAAAGAAAATCAAACCTTGTTAGGTAATCATCTTCTTACCACCTACCTCGTGTAGTATACTTTGTCAGCATAGTGTAGATTACGCATAAGGAAACTTCAACTTTATAGAAACTTGATAATGACAAACGAGTAGAGCTGTGGGTTATAAAATCCTGGGTTCTTCCATCTCAGGCACACTTGCTTGAATAAACCCAGGAACTCACAGCTCTGTCTCCTTTTTTTGTTTCAAGGTAAGAAACATTTAAACTTTATGCTTGTTTATTTCTAACATGTTATTTCTTTGTAATTATCGTCTAGAAAATGTTAGAGTTAGGTTAGAAACATTCCTACAACATTGAAGCACTTTTTCATTGCAAATGCTAGTTCTAGATAACCGATTAATTCGTAGTCACTATCCAGGGATATTTATTTAAGCACATTGCGTCGTGGGCTCCTCAAGTTTTATGTCTTTCGTGTACAAACAAATATTTCTTTTCTATGTTTCGACACACATGTGTATTCCCAGTCCTTGTCTAGTTTCATTCATGTTTGCGTGTTAGATCTGTATATGCAGGTTAGATTCCCGTTCAATAGCCTAGATTCTAGTAGCTTAGTCACAAAAACAATTCCGAGAGTTTGTACAATCATTTCCAGCAAAGACGAAGTTATATGTATTTTACTATAATCCGCTGATCAAATGATATTCGTGTAGATTTACCTCAGATACACGCTCACATGATAGGTATAACAGCCAACATTTGTGTTTTGATATTTCACCAACACTATATAAGTATTTGAATAATGATATATTAAACGTTCCGTTCTGCGTGCAGTTGTATACCGTACAGAACAGTTTATACGCGAATCACATTACCGTAATCAGTAGAAAATGGTATTGTCTACTCTTCATATTACCAGAAAATATACATTCAAATCCGTGTAGTTTGCAATTCCCGTCTTCGTTCCGTATTTATTTAGCTCCGTAATTTAAGAAATACGCTTAGCCAATGACAACAGCGCCGTCCTAGTACATTATTACATATTCATTTAACTAAGTTACTGTCTTGTTTTGTAAAGCACAAAAATGTAGCACTACAGCATTACATATATTCTAGGTCATGGCTTAACTCCGTATATTTCGAAATTGCCAATAGCAACACCACCGTCGAAATACACTTGCCGTAGTCACCCAAATAATTCATGATAAAACAAGTTTAAGTAGTAGTACTCTAACTAAAACTAGGCCTTCTGTTCCTGTATTTACAACACTTTTATATCCCTCTAATATCACTTACCGTATATACTGAAATTATTGTATTGAGAAAATAAATGTTAACATAACAGTTAGAACGCGTACAGTCAATACCGGAGTTAACTGGTATATGTCAAATCTGATCACTTCGCGCCGTTTACCGTATTTGCTCAAGGCATGTATGTTGATAACGGAAATTTACTTACACTAGTCATAAATAGTTACCGTAGTTGATTCATTAAGCGCGACATACCGTAATAGTCGTAAATTCCTACCGTAGTCAATACATTAAGCGCAACATACCGTAATAATCATAAATTTCTACAGTAGTTAACGCAATAGGCACTACATACCGTAATTGTCATAAATGGGTCCCGTAGTTAACGCATTAGGCGCGACATAACGTAATAGTCATAAATCTGCACAACAGTTAATGAACTAGGCACTACATGCTGTAATTAAACTGTTGGGCGTTCCACTCTGTACTTGTTCTTTGCAATTGTTGTTGTTTATCCGTCAGGTTATGTTATTTATCAGTTCCGTAGTTACTCAAGGAAATGTTGTGTTATATGTAATATGTTTCTGTAAGCAGTTACCGTACATACCCTGTTGTACCACACATTGCTTGTATTACCTGACTTAGACTTAAACTGTATTAGGATGTCGGGGCGGTGGGATAGTCTAGTGGTTAAAGCGTTGGCTCGCCACGCCGAAGACCCGGGTTCGAATCCCCACATGGGTACAATGAGTGAAGCCCATTTCTGGTGTCCCCCGCCGTGATATTGCTGGAATATTGCTAAAAGCGGCGTAAAACCAAACTCAGTCAGTCAGTCATTATTAGGATGTCATTGATTATTATTTCTATTATTGTATGTCATTATTATGTATGAATTGATGTAATTTGAATGTCATGCAAGACACTTTCTTGAATAAACCCAGGAACTCACAGCTCTGTCTCCTTTCTTGTTTCAAGGCTCGCTCCCTATAGCTAATTCCCCAAATCGAGGCCTGACAGCACCTTTAGCACACCTAGCGCTAAAGGTCGTCCTAACGGACACAAAGCAAAGCTGTCTTACTGTTGACGACTGGATTGTCTGGTCCAGACTCGATTATTAACTGACGGCCACCTTATGGCTGGAACATTGCTGAGTGCGGCGTTAAACCCAAACCAATCCAATTATATCAAATTGTTCCTGAAGGGGAAGTCACATGATGATCCAAGTTGGAACTTTAGCTCAGCAATGCTCCCTTGACGATTCAAGGAATCGGTGGTTAGCCCCAAGGACTTGATTGAAGCATGCCATCGTATCTCAGTTACTCATGATGTCAGTCACTGGATTGTCTGGAATAACTGCTTTTGGAAGATGATACAGATATTTAGGGCTTCCACATGTTAAAAGAGCAACAGCATGTGTGACCACATGTGGCCCTTTCCCGCATTACCTGAAGTCCATCAGCCCAAAGAACAGTAATTTGAATGTAATTGGGAAGTCAGTTTCTTAATTTTCAAAAAGTTTTACGGACCTATATCTTGTTAAGTTCTTGTTTCAATATTTAACTCGTTACAGAAAATATACGTTTTCAATACCCAAACCCTCTGGTGAAACTATCATCAAGAAGGCATTGAATTTTTTTCTCCGAATTGTATTGACACTGGGGAGGTGTCATGTATCTCCGGTTATACGATTTCCGATTATGCACAGCCATTTTCGGGGAATTGCTCATGCATGCGTACATCTGATTCAGGCGTGTTTGAAAAAAACCCGTCTGTACTTCCCTGTCTATTGTGTCTCAGTTGTGAGTCATGGGAAATGGGGCCATCGACAAGACCCCCGCGGCCCCTAGTCACGTTATACGATTACGAGAAACATCTGTAGACAAATACACCAACTCAAATAAGCCCGACTGTAAAGCACTTCGTGTTCTGCTTGAACACTTTCGCACTGAGTATTACATGTTAAGGGCGATATGAGTTATAAAAACCAACTCCAGATAGATAAAGTAGGCCAGACCACGTCAGAGGTGAAGTGCGCGATCCATTAGCTTCCTGGTTGCAAACAAGACATACTGGAGGGTATATCTTCAGTGACTTCTTTACAGTCAATGAATAAACACTCTGGCGCGGGGCTGATTCTGGTGCATTGTTTTGTTTGTCTGCATTTGTTTGTTGCTGTTTTTTGGTTTTGTTGTTTTTTTGTTTTTGTTTTTGTTTTTGTTTTTTTGGGGGGTAGGGGTGTGTGTGTGGGGGTAGTTGTTGTTTTGCATTGTTTTTGTTTCTTTTGTTGTTGTTTGTTCGTTCTGTCTGTCTGTGGGTTGTCGTATTTTTGTGTTTTTGATTTTAGGTTGTTATCTTGTGGGGAGAGGGGAGGGGAAGACTCTACATACGTGATGGTGGTGGTCCTCGCTAAGTAACATTCCATTTTGTATCACAGTAATCAGCAAATACGCGACACATGCCCACAATCCTGTGATTGACATTATGAGCATTGTTCCGTCCACTAACTAAGACACTTGTCATCCCAGTCGCAGAGTCCTCCCATCCCAAAGGTCTTAAATCATTCTTTTTAGCATGAAATGTCGCGGTTTTATATGTTTTATTCCTACATAAACACATTGTTCGATGATAAACAACAAACAAAGGCCACACTGATGACCAGCCCCAAGTCAAAGAGGATATCTTTAATACAAAAACATTTAATGTACGGTTTATCCTCACTGTGCAGGCAGCCTGTAGAGGATTGGGATTATGCGCCTGCTCTATGAGGAGACCCCTCATGTACATCATGAATCCAAACAAATGTTCAGGAAGAGAACTGTGACAAGAGGAAGCAGAAACCCTTCTTCACACCTGCCAGATGTATTTCTCTCATCTGAAAAAACAAGATATTGCATTGCAGGACCATAGTTGAATATCAGTTCAGAACAATGGTACATACATTCAAGCACGAGATGGCAATGACTATCAAATATATATTATGGCAGATTTCCAGGTCAAGTAATGCTGAAAAATATTTATGCCTCTAAAATAACAAAAGTGGCCACACAAATACATCGTTCCATTAAATGGTTTATTTTTCAAATATATTTTGATTATATTAAAGGTAACGAGGAAAATATCAGTTACAGTAGAAACATCTCTAACAGTGTCTATGAGTTGAGTAATCACTAAGGGTAACTTGATATCAAATCACATCAAAGTATTTACGACCTGGGGAAAGTTGAATTGAAATGAAATGTTTAATAACATGGAGTATAGCTTAGCGTTTGATTCAGTCAGAACAACTTATCGGATTAACTCACATGTCTGGACTGCAGAAGGAGAACCAGGAGTTCCATGTGAGTTGTTCAGGCACAGCTCCGCGCACACGTCATCATAGACACCGTCTGTGTTCTTCATTTCGCACATTGTACAATCAGTCCCGCAGTATCTCTCACAAGTGTTACCATAGTAACCAGACTGGCATGCAAAGCACCTCCCATCCTCATCACATGTCCTCTCAGAACACGTGGAACTACACGCGTTGGCACAGTCCGTTCCCCAGTAACCGTGAGAACATCGGGAACAATGTCCAGACTCCTGTAGACAAGCCTGACAGTTGGGTGGACACTTCTTCTGGCAATCAGAGGACATCCACCCGTCGACGCACCCCTCAGTACAAACTGCAGACTTTACTTCATGGTCATAAACACATTCCCTGCCCCTACAGCGGCTGTCACAGGGTCGATCACAGTGATGCCCATGAAAGCCGTGGTTACATCCTTCGGTACATCTACCTTTTCCAGATGGTTCACATGCATTATGACGACAACCGCTTGGACATCTTGTGCCACAGTCGTCACCAGTCCATCCATGACGGCAGCCCTTGTTACAGGTTCCATCCCAGGGGTAGCACGAGTTGTCCACACATCCTTCACTACAGGCTTGGTCACATCTATCTCCCCTCCATCCATCCTCACAATGTTCTAAACAGTGTGCTGTTGTTCGATTGCAGTGAGCATGCCCTTGACGGTTCTCCCAGCAGTGAAGGGGGCATTTTCTTGTACAGGTGGATGAGTAGTAGCCGCCCTGGCACTGAAGGCATTTTCCTGAGTCTTTATGACAACCACCACTGTCACAAAATCCAATACATCTTTTGTCACAGTGGACGCCATGCCACCCTCGTACACACTCAGGACACGGTGTACTTTCCGAGGCCCACAGACAGTTGGAATCAGCGGACGATTGGTACATGAAAAGTACTGGAACATAGAGCATTTCATCGACACCATTTAAGTGAACCGTTTTATTGTTAGAATGATGAAGAGTTCGATGCATATTGAAAGGAAGGAATCATCAACAACGTACTTGGCATCGATTATTCCACTTATCAGTTACCAGATTAATCCAGATGTGTAATATGGATGGGATTTTACTTTGTGTTCCTGAATATAGTTTAACCACTTTGATCCAGGTTCTCACGCTAAAAGGAGAAAGACGTTATCGAAGATCTGTCCATATTCCTAGGTATTTGTCAGTGTGGGTGAATAGTTACATGATCATCAGCAGCTGTCCGTCCAATTTGAACCATATTTAACTGGTGTTTTGTCGGACCTTTAGCGGCAAAGCCACTAAGGCGATTTTAGTTCTGGCCGGGGTGACTCTTGGCAAAGTTGTTAGAATAGAATGTGACAACATATATCAATACACTACAGATAACTTACATACGTGTTACAATACGTTTACACTTTTACATTTGCTGTATATGTACATATGCATCCTTTGTCAATTCCAACTGTGCAGATCGATGCTCATGCTGTTGATCATTGGGTTGTCTTGTCCAGACTTGATTATTTACAGACCGCCGCCTTATAGCTGGAGTATTGCTCAGTGCGGCGTAAACCTCAACTCACTCATTCACTCACCTTTGCCAATCCAGTTGCCTTTTCGACTATCAGTTGTTTGGTGGGACCATATTCGTATTGATAGGAAGCCATACCATACAACTACTCAAGAGCTAATCAGAAACAAGAATTTACGGTCTATTTTCTGAATTAATTTTCGAAGGATTATTATACTCACCAAACAGGAACAGGTTCCTTGTCATCTCTCACTCCTGAAGACTGTTTCTGTATGGAACACAAGTTGGCATTTCAATACATGAATCTTAACTTTCCCTCTTGGACGATCATAACAGAAAAGAAACCAATACGAATATTTTTAACGTATTCATTTCAGACGGAGGTGAAGAAGACGAACGTTAAATCTTTAGGACACTTTAGGTTTGGTACCTTGCACCTCTCAACTGACATTGGGAGTACCCAGGTTTCAGAGTACCGAGGAAAACAGCCCCTCTGAAACTCGGGGTAGTGCAGATGGTTGCAGTGTTGGCCAGTCGTTACTTTCTAAGAAAGGTTCCTGTACATATGCACCACTAGGCAGCACTTCCTGGGAGAAGCCCCATTCGCTTCACTGCTGCGTGTGAAGGGGGTATGGTTTTTGAGCTGATGATGACCTTAACCAGGCCGACTGTGCAAGGCACATCTGAACCATCTTTGCTGCCTTTATCTTATTTGATTTGATAAAACAATATACACACATACATACACGCAAACAAACACACGTACATACATAGGTTTCAACACAACATGTCTCGACTGTCCAGGAACACGGGGTAGATATGAGTGGCTAGATTCGACCAGGAAGGAGCTATGTAATCTGACCTGATTTAATTGTGCGCGATACGAAATAAATGTATCAGAGGAGGTGGCAGTGGGTTTTGTTGTCAGTGTGTATTTATGTCATAACAGAATAGAGATATAATCGGCGTGATAAGTTGTACCGGAGAAGTGCCTCTCACTATCCAACTAGCAACGTAGGAGAGATAAAGAAAGATATGAAGTTGGAAGAATATAGACAGTTGTACACCTGTATTTACAAGCGGCTGTCCCTTCTTAAATGAACTTATTTGATCAATATAAACGAAGTACCGCTAGTACTTAAAAGTAGTAGATAACTGATTATATTTGTTGAACATAAGCTGAGTAAGAACATATTTTGGATCCACATACGCTGAAAATTGCTTTTGACAGATGACACATGTGTTAGGACTGATGTCACTTATTTAATGAACTACTGTATATTTAACCATACCACTGTATGTATGTCAAGGCAGTCACGGAAGCTAGTTTGTGTTTAGATATACTCCTCACAAAAAGTTAAGCAACACAAATGTTTAGTCTCATTACAGTTTCATTTATTGAAATTGCAAAACATGGAATGATGCAATAGAAAGGTGAAGCATATGTACAGAAAATGAAATGAAATGGTATTGAGCAATAATAGACTTAAAAATCATCAAAAGCATGTACCCGTGCAACAGTCATGCAAAATGTGCTGCATTGATGGAGCAAAATGTTAACATTGGGGTTCAAGTCAGTTTTGGACAGTTCAGCAGTGTTCAGTAACACGAATGGCCACCATGGCCACACATGAAAGCTTATACACGTCTTTACTTTGACCACATGAGCCTTTGAAGTTGATGTTGTGGAATCTTCTGCCATTCACTCTGTAATGCCTGCTCAAGGTCATCTAGAGTCTGGGGGTGAACAAGGAGACCGTAAACACGACTTATGTCCCAAGCATGTTCAGTTGGATTAAGATCAGATGACCTTGCAGGCCAGTCCATGTGTGATGTTGTTGTGATCTTAGCAACATCGTTAACAACTCTTTCCCGGGCATTATCATCCATGGACGGGCATTATCATAATCCAGAAAAATAAAGTTAGGACCCGCTTGTTTTACCAGAGGTATGATTACAGGTACATTTACAGCGATCTGGGTGCATGTGTGAAGAGTGGAGCACATTCATGCCACGCATTTTGCATGTTGTTTTTGAGGGTGGTTGTGTTCGGGTATTGTTGTCAATGTTATCAGAAAAATCAATTTGACAGTCACTGAAGGTTATGTATTCTTTGAATATTTACCGTTCAGTAACATGTCGGCAAAAATCGCTCTCGAGATTGATAAAGATGTAACACTGAAAATAATTTGTTTTGTCAGGAGTATAGTTGAAAAAGGAATGCCGAATTTCTTCTTTGACTGTCAAAGTCTAAAGTCTTTTATTGTATCAAAGGCCATCAGCCCATATACAGGTTAATATAAGTACACTGGTTGAGAATATACTGATTAGTAGATACAGTGGAAATGATAAAAAAACATAACATTCATTTAACGATTGGTGGTAATCAGGAGGACCTTTTGGAGTACGGTAAATCTGAAATCCCATTCAACAAGTTATTTCTTAGGTCCATTCCATGTTTTACAAATAATGATCATTTATATGTTACATCGGCATCATTCAATGACAAAATAGAAACAAATCCTATTCTCCTCATCCTAGATGAGAAACGTTCTGGTATATATTTAGTTCGTATTTCTGCATAATGAGGACATTCAAAGGTAAAATGTATTTCGTCTTCTATAGCAGAGTTGCATAATGGACTGGCATTCTAGAACACCGAAAACCAAGGCACCTGCTAAACTTGGACTGCTAATTAACCCAATGAGTTAAGCATCCGTGGGTTTGTGTTGTCCATACTCGACCAGTTAGACGCTGACATGAGATACTGACTAAATTGGTGGCAGTGGCGTTAAATTGCATATCACTTTGGTCTGTATACGTGTTAATCCCAAGCAAGTAAGCTTGGAAAAAACTATGCGCGTTATTAATCGTACGAAAAACACCCTTTTGTAGGACACCTGCAAAGATTGACAGAGGAAAGCCGTGTGGTAATTATTACATTTAGAGAAGGAGGCAGGATTAAACCAAAGCAAAGAGAGCAACTTTGAAACCAGGTTGATACCCAAAAAATATAGAAGCGACACATATCCACATACAATGCACACGCGCACACAGACGCACACAAAAAAAACAAGCGCTTTACATCAATACAAGAATTGCGTGAAGATCACTTTTCACTCAGGATTCCCGGCCTAGGTCTATTTTGGAAGCTTGACCAGTAACGCATTTGTATTTGTAATAACCATTGTCTGTATTGCTATAACTATAGGTTTTTATTGCGTTGCCATTGTATGAATTTGTAATAATGTCCATTGATTATTTGACTCAATTTTTGGTTACAAGTTTTAATTGTTAAAAACTAGTTTTTAATTCTTGGTTTTAAACCGATTTATTTTTTTAAATCGCCACGAAACAGCACATATATGTATCCATTACCCGTAGACTGTACCAATCCAAAGCTAAATCATCTCATGAGTGAATTATGTCAGTGAGAACTTACCTGTATCAAATGTTACTCCCACTATATGATGTGCCCTTGTCAGACACGTTATATATTAAACCCAAGAACAATTAAACTATTGAACTAAATTGATGGACGTGTTCTCTAACATATCTCAATTACTTTGCACTGTTACTCACGCACGCGGTCCATCCCGGGAAATGGGGTCAGTAATGTCACCTGGACATTGTATTAATGCTGACGTTATATCCTGAAAATAGGATATTGCTTTACCGAGAAATGGGTCAGTCATATATTGTGCTGACACATGCGTCAGTGTGTTTTTCCTGTGCATTGTATCTAGCATGTGTGTCATCGCTGGAATATGAGGGGATTTACCTCTTCATGTTAGTGTTGGTTAAGTGGTGCAAATGTCAAACGGAGTTGGTACTATGTTGAAACGAATTTCGGCTCTAACCCTTACTTTAACAAAGGCTTAACCATGCTTTCAATACTGACAGGGTGAAGGCAGAGCTTTGTGAGACATGTTTGCAGGTGAGTGGGTTTATTTGTACGCCGATTTAGCAACATTCCAGCAATATTCCATTCATTCATTCTTTCATTCATTATGGAGACACTGACTTCCGTTCCTTGTGAACACTGAGTGAGTGATGTGTCAAATGGTCACCATTCGTCCAAATGAAAATGGTTTAAATGGCGAGTCGTTCCATATAATAAGTAATGGCGAATGTACAAATATCCCCATTCTTATAATTGATTTTATGATTTGTTGTGTTTTTTTTAGCTTTATGTTGTTATTTTGTTTGTTGCGTTTTTCATTTTGGATTCCTGGTGTCTGTGTGGGGGTTGACGGGCGGACGTGCATGCATGAGGGAGGAGTTTCAACATTAAGCACATTCCATACCCGCACACCTGTGGTTGTTAGTGGTGTTTCAGGGAGTATATATGACAGCAGCATGAATATATGATGCACTTGATAAGTTATACCAAGGGAGGGCTTCGCTCTTTTTCTAACTAGCAGTGTATGAGAGATACTGCAAAAGGACTGGCGGACAAAACCCACACGCAAACGTTAATTATTTTTTGTAGGAGACCATCGACCAACGCGTGTAATATTGTCAACATTTCACAAAATCAGTTGTTTAAATAAGGGTTTAGGTGGTCAAGCTCGCTGACTTGGTTGATATATGTCATCGTACCCAAATTGCGTATTTCGATGTTCATGCTATTATTACAGTGCATATATTTTTTCATACATGTTTTATATTTTTCACAAATTATTCATAACATAGGAAACTTGTATAGGCGCAAGTCGCAGTGCATAGTCTGTCTTGTTTATAGCCCCGCATGGCAAGTGCAGTGGTAGGCAATTAGCAAACGCGTCCACGCCAATCTTAAACTAATTAATCAAAGATGAAGTTATTGAGCTGTGTCGGCTCCGGCCTTTGTTCTCGGGTACATCCCTTGGTCAAGCACAGATAAGTATTCCCATCCCAGCAGGACATGCCATCCTCCTTGTCCTGACGTAAATGCCATGGTCAAGCGCTGACAGATATTTTGTTAAGCAGCTGGCGCAAGCTGATTGTGGCTGTACCATAAATAAAATCAAACCTTTTTAGGTAATCATCTTCTTACCACCTAGCTCGTGTAGTATACTTTGTCAGCATAGGGTACATAACGCATATGGAATCTTCAACTTTATAGAAACTTGATAATGACAAACGAGTAAAGCTGTGGGGTATAAAATCCTGGGTTCTTCCATCACAGGCCTCGCCTGGCTGTGAAGAGAGAAGGAGAAGACCGCCAAGCGACAGCAAGACCAAGGAAGGCCAGTTCACTGTTGGTTCTTACTCACGGGGAACTGT